TTAACGTTATCATTCCACGTTGAGCAGACGAACGGAACGGTTGCTAGTGCCATTGTTATCTGGAAAAAACAAACAATTACTTTCAGTCAGATTCATAAAGATACATCAAGTTACTATGGTCAACGCATCTTCATGTCGCACATAACAAACGAGTGTCCCAGAATCAAAGAATTCATTCGCAAAGCCGTCTCATGGAGTACAAATGTTTGTTTTGATTAGATTTCCATCTAAACACATATAGTATAATTAAGATATCATCAGCCATTATAGCTTGTCGATGCAATCCAACCATCGCCATCTACAAAGTCTAAAAACATTTTTTTATTCGAAATAGTCATTTAAATAGGTTCTGGTTTACAAAACCTTCTCATCTCATTAGCTGATTTTATATCTCCGAATACTTATTTTTCTCGATTTAACCAAATCCAGAGTGACTGGCTGTTCAGTTCATTAGGATATATGACGAAACTGACCTAATTGAATATCGTTTACAAACATATTTTTTTCTTTTTTTTTCGTTGTTGTAAAATATAGTACAAGAGAAGAAGAGAGAAAGAGAGAAATAGAGTTAGTGACTTAGAGAGTATGTGGATGTGAGAGAGGGGTGAGAAAGAGACAGTGAAAGAGAGGTAGAGACTAAGGAATGAATAACAACATTAATAAATACATTTTATTTGTATTTTTTTTTACCGAAAATATACAAACATTCGGGAATGTTGATAAAGAGAATGACAGAAAAGACAGTACTCTATGATATTCTATACAGAAAGAAACCTTTTCTTGGGAGGATATTCGATAGAAGCATATAACATTCGTAGAAAGAGTATGAGGGAAAGCTCGCTTAGGAATTTTTCAGAAAATATACACAACATATAAGATGTACAGATACAGTCGAAGTGTTCGTTTGTTTCTTAAGGTTGCCATGCGAGAGCGTATTGTCCATTCTTCTCGATTTTGCAAGTCTTTCCCTCCTGTAAGAGTTGCAGTTGTTAGTTGGATCATATAACGACTCATCAATTCAGATTACAAATGATTGCCCTTTTAGGCAAACATCTGCTTGTAATCTATTTGAAATGAGTTCAACTTGCCTTGAAGTGAGATTTGTACGCGAAATCATCAAGGGCGACGACTGTTTCAAATTTTCCTCCAAGTTTTCCTTCCGCACCCTTTTGGATGGAGTCAGCAGCAGCCAAAAGATCCTATATATATCAATCAATTAAACAGTTTTTTCTGCCAAAACCAACTCCTCCAGCCATTGCTCCCAACATGGCTGATTCTAATTCCTTGTTGCAGCATGTGAATCCTATAATTAAGCTGTGATTCAAGTCGTGTTCAGAGATTGTCATGATGTGTAGTAGTAAGCAAGAGGCAGCTGTGAGGAGTTGGCCGTGTGGTGTGTAATGGCAATATAGAGCGCAGGTTCATGGTTCGAACCACGCATGGTGCCCAATGAGATCAACTACTATATGACAACCAAAGTTGCTCCGAAGACCGCGAGGTAGGCTCGAAAGGGCTGAGTAGTCGATAAAGGCAACTGCGAATGATGGTGATTATGAGAGATGAGGGCAATTGTTTTATGATTCGATCGAAAAGGAATTTCGCAGCTTAATTTGATACGAACACGCTTTACAAGATTTTTTGTGTAATTTCGTTTTTTTCTTGGCACCCTGATAGAAATGTTTTTTAAGCTGAATGTCATTTCGGATCACCAAAGCCTAATTGTATTAAGAAAAACGTCGACAAAGGAGAAATACGAAATCGAAATCGATTTTCCCGTTTTCAAGAAGATACCGGATGGTAAGAAATAGGGATAGAGACGTCAAATGAATGGGTGCGACGGATTAGTACTTGCTGAAATGGGATAGAGAACCAACTAATTATGAGAAAAAATAAGAAAGAGAAAGCGTCCGCAGAAGGTTTCGCATAAGCTGTTGATTTGAGTGAAAAAAAAGAATTTTGGTTATGGAATCAGTGGTGATGGTTCAACTGATTATTATTGATAACTGTCGAAGTTACGTTATGGAGGCCGGAAAGATGAATTGGATTTCACAGTCTTATACTGTATGGAGTTGGTGCACATGAATGGGAAGGAGGCTTAGCACTATGAGAGTACAGTCACAACATGTGGTTGAGACAGCTATTGCGTGGGACGAATGATAATAAAGACATACCACTGTCGTTGATGTAACAGTTATCAGCTTGAGCTGCAACGTATCCGATAAGGCAGAGAAGAGCAGCAATGGAAAGCTTCATGATGAAAGAAGAACTGAAAGGTAAAAGTATTAAATAATAACAAAGATAATTGAGAGGAGAACACAGAAAACATAAAACAAAAAATATGAGAAAAGTGTATCCATATGAAGGTAGACCGTCATATAAGCATTCAATTGAATCTTGCAGCAGAACTTGTTACATTAGCCGGCAAGCATGAACAGGCATTTGGCTTTCGCTGGAATCAAGAAAAGCGGAAAGAAGCAGCCGACGAATAAAATGGGATGAAAGCTAGAAATGGAAGAATTCTGTGTACAGGTGTATGTTCCAGAGAAAGAAGGTAAATGATAGAGAGAAAGAGAGCGAGGCAAGGACACTAATGCTTCTCTAATTCTTAAATAAAAATTTCTGAGAAGATGAAAGCTTAATGAAGCGATTGCTAAAAAGATTTCATAGTGCACAAGGTTGATAATATATGCTTCAAGGCTAGATGACGACGAATGAGCGTTGGAATAGGAATTACTGACTGAGATACTGAGATAGGGCAGTGTTTACTTCGTCCAACCCTTTACAGCTTCTTATGCGCGAACACTTCTTTTCTTAAAAGGGGCGGAGCTGTTTGGCAACAATGTTTTTTAGGATGGCCGATTGAAAATGCAATTAGCTACATGCATGATGAGAGATAAGCTGTTGCGGTGATGTTAAGTTGCAGATATGGGAATTCAATGAAAAGTGAATGGTAGATTTCGATCGCTGCGGCTTCAGATACTATGATATAATGATGAATGAGAGATATTTATAAGATTCTGTCTACTTTAAACACTCAGCGTAGTAATTCTTTTTTTACTTCAAAAAAAGGTAAAGTAAGAAGGCCATAGATCTAGAACTAGTAGTAGTTATCCGCTTTCGGTTGAATGCAGAAGAATCCAACAACAAGTAGCGGGTAACATCAAAACCCAGAGAAATTATAATAATTTGTAAAATGAAAAAGTGGAAAAATTACTTTCGGAGAAATATTGCAACCGCTTAGCGCGCTCTCTAGGTTTCAAATGAGATTACGTGAGACACGCGCCACGTAAATGGCGTTTATGCAAATGAGAGCGATCGCAATAAAAAACGTGAAGAAGTTGAAGGTGCAGATGTGACGATACGTTTGGTGAAAATGACCGAAAAGGCGTTCTGCCCTTACGTCCTCATATCCACCTGAATCAAAGTTCTGCAGCGATAGACGATTATATGGAGATTAGAGATTCGACGGATGCTAGGCAAGGGCTTAAGCGAATGTTGAAACATGCAAGATCTTCTTCAACCTTCTTATAAAAGCCGAATATTGTGGTTGTACGGTAGTTTAAAAGAAGAAGAAGTTTATAAATATGTTGTGATACAATTTAAAACAATTTCCACCGTAGAGGAAAACAAGATTTGATATGTCATCTTATCGTACAGAAGCATCAATTAGAAGCTTCAGTAGATTGTTTTTTATGTTCTTTTACAACAAAGTCTAGATGAAGAAACACTTGGATGCTCTAATGTATCTTAAGATTTCCAAGCTTCACCGCATCCACAAATCAAATCAAAAAAAAAGTTGATTAGTGTAACGAGTCAAGAACAAATTTGAACTGAAATATTTTGAGAATTTACAGTTCCAGCTAAGAAGCGCGCCAAATCAAGAAAAAAGCTATATCGTTTCAGCTGAAAGGGTAAATGCGCTGGGAATTAGTTGGCTTGCCTACGGCAAACTAGAAGAAAGACCTTCAGAAATCTTTTTTACGTTTTCTCCTTTCTGATGTTAAAACCTTCAATTGTAAATAAGGAGGGGTATGCTATGAAACATACAGAGACAGCTTGAGGGATGTGAAAGTAGTAAAATCACTTACGAACGATAGTTTACCAACAGTGACGAGGAAACGTAGCTGAGTTTGTAATCTCCAGAGATCCCGGGAACGAAGCATCTGACATCTTAGGTTAAACAAATACTACAACTGGTCAGTTTCCATTTCTCCCTGAGGAGCTAAATGACACAACAAGAACAACAAGATAGTTTTCATAATAAATTTATATTTTTTACTTTCTGAAAACATTTACCGTGGATAAAGCCACACTAATATACTAAAATAAACAAATGCTTATTAATTGGAGCAGCAAAAGTTGGATCTAATGAACAATGTAACACACTTGCGATGAACGTGGAAAAAGATATGAATAAACTACCCAGTACGCAGTACAAATAAGGACACAGGTTTGCAGGGATACAGATTCTATCATACAATAGCTCTTCTGAGCTTTCAGTGGACACAACATTGAAGAAAGAGAGAGGGAGAGAGAGAGAGAGATTTCAAAACCAAATTGTGAAAGCAGAAAAAGAAATGATAAACAACCCCTAAAATCACAAGAGTTCTAGAATTATGCGATAAGCCATCACATCCCAAACATCTGAGAATATGTTAGTCATCATAGAATTTCAGAAAAGGGTACGGGATAGTTTTATAAATATATATATTTGAACAATCTTTCTTATAATTATTAAAAGAAATCGCCTGGAGAAAGAAGAAAAATTCTTTTTTTTTTGTTCTTGTGGATGAAAAGTAGAGGACAGGCAAGTAAAAGACATCGGAGATACAGTAGATGAAGCTAAGTGAATGTTGTGATTAGAGTGTCCAGACACATTGAGTTGGAGATAAATTATCTTAGAAAGCCTGACAAGTCTACAATGCTCCAGCAATGGAATTTTATAAGAATTTAGCCTACATAGATCACAAAATATGCTATATGACAACATATAGTTACAGTTACTTAACACGGCTTCGTTTCCCAGACTCTTCTTCGAAGGCATCTGATGACGGTCTCTTACTACGTCTAATGACAGTTTCTTCATTGTCATTAGACGTTGAAGATACTGAATCTTCAGTAAGAGGGCCGTTGGGAACCGCGCTCTCGTCCAAAATTTCGTCTTAAAAAGATGAGGAATTGAAAAGGACTAAAAGCATTAGCTTACCTTGCATAGAAGCAGGACTACCCGTAGATGAAGAAGGCATAGAATCAGAAGGTGTAGAAGGTCCAGGGATTTGGTCTTCGTCTTCGTCGGAATCAGAATCTCCATAGTCAACCAGTGACCGTATGGAATTCACAGGACTATTTTCTTTACTATTATTTTGTGATGATGTAACTTCATCTTCTCTAGATGGCGATGGCGCGGGAGATGTTGAGGGCGAAGGAGTTCTAGACTTATCCCCAACCTAGAATTAGGAATAAGTAAAGAGCACAATGCTTGAGCTTACCTTTATTATAATTTTCTTGTCCAATGAATGCACCGGGTTCTGAAGTCCTGAGAATACTGGTCCCTCATCATCTTCGATCGCGTTTTTCCTACGAAGAACTGATGGGAACATAGGCTCGGATCCCGTTTTTCGAGGAGAATCGTTCTCTTTTCTAATCTGAAATAGAATAAATTAGAACGATAAAATCAATGATAGAGGACTTCTTTCCTAGCATCAGATGACGCATCTTCATCATCATCCTCTTCGAACCACCGTTCTTCTCTGTTGAAAGTTGGCGAATTGCCCATGCGATCTTCCTTGACTGGAATTCGTCCACCACTGGCTTCACGATCTTTCTGTTGTTCATATTTCAGCCTGAGATCAGTGAAAACTTTCACATATGAGATAGTTTCGAATGTGGCCATATGATTTTCCACGATATATTTGACAAGAATCTTTATGTCCTCCTGAAAATATGAAATTGAGTAAATATAGAAGGGCTCAAACGATTACATTTCTTATATAATCGAAGAGATCAAGTAACGCAGAGTTAAGAAGATTGTATCGAGATCCGTTCTTTACATAGCAATCAACCACCTTGTCCAGTACTTTCTCTCTTACTATATATCTGTTGTAAAATTCGTCTTTAACCGTTAGTACAGCCCGAATCATTTTCAAAGCACCTGCAAGAGCAATGACGTGACCAGGAAGATGTGAACAAGGAACTTACAAAGAGATAAGAAGTGATGCCTACTTGAGAGAAGGATCAGAACCTTATTGAGGAGATCATTTGAAATGCAATGCATACGCATTGAGAAAGAATGATGTTCGATGCAAAAACATAAAAGTTTCACAATCAGAGCTTCCTTGTTAGCTGTGCAATAGTCATCTGGAATTCATTGATAAACTCATGAAGAGGAAGTTTTTACTAACCGTTTTTGATAACACCTCCCTTGACGTTTTCCACCATAGGCTTCAAGAGGGAATAGATTGATCGTTGATAAAATACATTTAAGAAATCTGATTTGTCCGATTTACTGATATTCGGCATATTTTCTGGGTCGAGTAAAGATCGCAAAATCTGAAAGTTGTTGTTGTTTGCGGAACGTGCACAAGTATGCTTACGTTGGATACGTGAGTAGCCGATGTTAGTTCCAAATCCGAATCTGACAACATGTGAACAATAAAAAGATTGATAATTAGATCATCCTGAAGAATGAGATGAATGAAACAAACATAAACAACAATTTCCTCACATTTTCCTTCCCCTTAGCTTGCTTAACAATGAAATCTCTGACCAAAGAGGAATTACAATCCACCAATGTCGACATAATCTGAACAAACAACGTAATGAAAAAACAAAAGAGTGATTTTCTTACATCGACCATGAATGCACGTGTCATGGGATCAGAAGACCTCATGCATGGCTCCACTGTACTTAAAATGTCGGCATTGAAGAACGCTTGTATGACGTTCTGAAAGTTTAAAACAATTAAACCTTTTGTTTATCGAATCTTACTTTCGCAACTGTGTCTTTCTGATGTGATGCAGGTTGACCAGGTTGAACATTAGTAAGATGCAAGAACTCTCGCAGGAAATGTACACAGTCACGCCTCCTGTTCATGCCTGTTTTAGGTGACTTCAGCTCATCGAAGAGATCTTTCATAAACTTCTTATCTTTCTAAAAACAGAACGTTGATAAGAAACAAATAAGTGAAGTTATTTTCACCTGTAATGAAGAAGAGATTTCTACCCGTAAAAAGAAAGCATAGCTATTCAATGTGCCCGTCAGATTTTCTTCGAATAGGGACGGAGCTGGTATACAAACTTCTTGTAAATACTGAATTCTGTAGGCTTTGTGGATCTTTGTTCTGAATATAGACAACACGTATATGGCGAAGAAGAGAATGCAATGCTTACATGACGTCTGGATCAGATATCCTTAGCACCTCTCTGAATTTAGCTTGCTCATAGAGAAATTCTCGATGTTTTCTAGGCTCATCGTATGCCGGATCATATTCCAACATTCCAATGACTTCTTTCATGTAACGATCGTCGAATACATACTGAATTAAGAGCATTATTGCTCGAAAACAGAAATTAGCTTACTTCCATGAAATTTAAATCTTGTTGCCCATTTCTATGCATCAGGATTATATTCTTCGCAATTGTGTACAAGCTGTGAAGCCCATCAGTGTTTTCGAGATCTTCACACATTTTAAAAACTTCTGCTAGCTTTGGCATAACTCTTCAAAAACATTTGGTTATCAATACTTTCAGAATGAACTAACCCTTCAGATTCCAAAACTTTGCACATTTTGTCCCGTAGAGTCACACTAGACATATGAGTTGATATTATATAATCAATCTCTCCTAAGCGTCCCATTTCTATAGGCGGCAACGTCACGCGACCGGAAGATGAACCTTCCGATAGCTCGCCCTCATCCAGCTCATCAAAACCTCCTTCCTGCAAAAATATCAAAAGATGATTCTTTTGTTTGAGAAATGACACATACAGGATCTCCAGGATCACGACCTTGTACTTCACAGATTTTGGCCCAAATTTCTTCGCATCCAGACTTTTCTTGGAAGCTAAGAGCTAAGTCGCACGTTTCTGATTCAGACCAAACAATGAGTGTTTCCTAAAAACCAAAAATCAATTTCGAACAGGAATATATGGTTTAATATAATTATTTTCACACACTCTTTCTAATGTGCTCTCTAGTATGCCATCATTTAGAAGAGCTACATGAGCTTCCGCCATAAGATTATATATGTAATATGTACGCCCAAGTTACTATAAGGAGAGTAATGAAGTTGTGGAAGGTGTAAACTAATTGAATTCACGATACAAATAGTAAACATTAAAAAACGTCTGAGACGAAATGAGATGGGACGTGGGCTTGCATCACGAGTTGCACAACAGAAAACACCGGCTACAATCGATAAAGAGCGCACTTCGCACAAAACAAAATAAAGAGAAAACTCTTGGAAACAGAAGTGAGAACATTGAGAAGTTTCCACTTAGATTAGCGAATGACAATGGATAAACTATTAGAATATTGAAAGTTCATGATATCATTTGAGAAATGAATGGAATAACAGTCACACGTGATAATGCAGGACATCATGGGATTCGAAACAGTAACATGATGGTATCTTAATTTTTTGAGAAGAGGAATAATAACTAGGGAGAAGGAGAAAAAAAGTGATAAAGAGAATAAACATTGCATAATCTGTGAAGAGTGGTCTAAAAAAAAACCAAAACTCTTCCCTCTCTCTCACCTAAGAACTAATTTGAAATTTTGAAAAAACACGGTAAAGGTCAACACGCCTCACTAATAAATTATTTCGGAAATTCAAAGTTCAAAAAGACCAACCTGTTGCTTTTGGTAAACAGTGTCCATCAAAATCTTTGACTCTAAAACATTGCGCTCTGAAACCAACCGATCAACATCTTCGCACGTAATGAAATGAGTTACCTGTTGTTTCCAATTTCACAATAATAACAAATGCCTGTTGTTGACCAGGTAGAGGAACACAAGCTACATGTCCCGTACCTCTGTCGTCCCAAACGCGCTGCTCACAGAGCACATACAACTTAACACGATTTCTGGAGTCCTGCAGAGAAAACAAAACAACATTATATGGGAATGAGGAGGAGAGCTTACTCTATCGATATCATAATCATCTAATTGGTTAGGACCAGGGGTAATCGGCTTCCAATCTTCATCCTCTTTCTTCTCCAATTTTAAACCGTTTTCACCATTGATCTTCGGTGACTCCTCCAACTTGGCTTGTTCTTCTTTGTCGATGGACTGAACGTTACAATAATGAATATAAAGAAGTGAAATTGTGGAAAACGGAAGAAAAACAAAAGTTGGTTAATACTACTCAAAGCTGTGATTATAAATCATGATACGTACCTTATCTTTGACAAATTCTGTATTATTCTCAGTAAGAGACTGCTCTTTCTCAGCAAAAGGAATTTCTACCTCCGACATTACGAATTGGTGCTGGGTTTAGTAGAACATCTTAATTAGGAAATAAAGACTCGTATGACTAATAATAACAAATTGATGGCGAAGAACATATGACATCAACAACAAACATTCCGCTCAATAACGCGGAAGAAACTAATAACGTTACTGTTAAGATGTGGTCTATTCAAATTCAGCTGGAATGATTTTGAAAATACCGGAAAAGGTATAAGAATACCTTAACTTTTTGAAAAAAGAGAAAAAACGCCGTTTCGCAAAGCTTGCCAATTTGTTCTGGTAGAGCGCCAAGTCCATTCCAAGCCGCGTCCCGCCACGAATGCTGACGTCACTGGGTCGACCTAAGGTACGGTAGTCATGACCGTGATTCATGCTATGGGGAAAGCTTGTATGCGTAAAGCTTAAGTTGTTGTTTTGGCTTAATTTTCCTTTTTTTACTTTATTTTCGGTTTTGTCATCTTTCATGATTCATTTATTGAAATTTTCATTCTCCCCGGGAAAATCGATCTCGTCGAGGGACAGCTTGACAAGCTTGTAGTGAAGCTTTTAATTTTGTTCATTCTTCCCTTCCAAACCTCAAAATTTATTTTCATTCCAAAAATGTTAAGCTATGAAGCGGATGTTTGGATCTTCCAAGGCTAAGGAGCCACCTCCAGACCTTAATGCTGCCATACAGAACGTTGAAAGTCGGTGTGAGAGCATTGACAAAAAAATAGCGAAGGTATTCATCTGCCTCCATATCCTTTATCCTTTATTATGAATCAGCTTGATGGTGATCTAGTTAAACTCAGAGATCAAATGTCCAAAATGAGGGAAGGACCAAGTAAGAATCTAGTCAAGCAGAAGGCATTAAGGTTTGAACTACATACGATTTCGATTCATTTTTCTTCTCAGAATTTTGAAACAGAAACGTACATATGAAAATCAGAAAGCTCAACTTGACCAACAAGCATTTAACATGGATCAGAGTAATTTCGCTTTACAAGGAATGAAAGATAACCAGGTTTCGTGCTTCGAATTGCCTTTATCGATTGGCTTGTGTTGCAGGTGACTGTGGCGGCTATGAAAGATGGTTTGAAGGCGATGCAAAAGGAATACAAAAAGATGGATATTGGAAAAGTGAGAGATGATTGCGGACTACTTTTTCGTAACGGCGTTATTTAGATTGAAGATTTGCAAGATCAAATGGAAGATATGCTCGACTTGAACAATGAAATCCAAGAAAGCATGAGTAGACAGTATGATACTCCAGATGTAAACGCTGCTCTGTTGAACATGTTCACGTTTTGTATTCTTCAGATTGATGAGAGTGAGTTGGAGGCTGAATTGGCACTTCTTGGAGATGAATTAGATTTGGGAGAGACTGATACCAACTTCTTAGATGAAGCCCTTAATGCTCCCGGTGTACCCGAAGCAAAGCCCCAACGTGCTAAGGTAACCTGCATCAACTAGTTAGTCATACACTTACACTATCCTCTCTTACAGGTCTCGGAAGGGCTGGAGGTTGATGAATTCGGTTTGCCTAAAATTCCTGCTTAACAGTACTTTCTAATTACGGAGATGTACATAGCATGTTTACTGTTTTGTAAATATTTAATTTATAGCTTTGATATAAACGAGTCATGAATCACCAGGTTTTCAGTATTTTTCACGTTTTTGATTGAGTTGGTCCCTGAATAAACTCGTATTCACTTCCTACTACTGTTCTTCTCACCTGCGAGACGCATAGTGTGAACGAATTCCGTTTGAAGAATATCCAGAACTTTGCGAACTCCCTGTTCCCCCTTTAAAAATATTTTCACATCTGCGTGAAGACTAAATACGCTCACATCTACGGCCAGACCCCAGAGAATTGGTCTACCAATGAAAACAGCAGTTGCTCCCAAAGCGATGGCTTTGAATATATCACGTCCATTACGTACTCCACCATCCATAAATACCTAAAATAGTCCTGTTCTAAAACTATGTGTAAGTTCAGAGACCGGAATCTTCCCCTTGATCGCATGAACGACTGCAGGAAGCGCTTCTATCTAAAATTAATCTTCACACTTGTCGGTAGTTGAAATTTACAGTTGAAATGGAACTATCTAGTTGACGGCCTCCATGGTTCGATACAATAATCCCATCAATCGAGTGGTTAAGAGCTTCAGCAGCGTCGTCAGCTCTCACAATTCCTTTAAGGATTAATGGTAAAGGGCAGATACTTAAGATACAATTAATGAAGATGAAGGGATCTTTTGGAACCGTTTGATGTAATCAACGGTCTCCCAGCTGAGGGAACTATCGATTTGATTAGTGACATAATCCATAAATCCTGATATTCCAGTATCTCCATCAGGCATATTCTCCAGCATGTCTGATGAGAAGTTGGCTAAGCTGGAAAATCGTACGATTCCATTTTATCCCACAATTTCGATATACCGAAAAGGTTTCGGAAGAGAGAAACCATGACGTAAGTCAGCCAAACGTCTTCCTAGAACGGGAGTGTCCACTATATTTAAGAGTATTGAAACAACACAGAGTCAAGAGAGAAACCTGTCAGGACAATAGCTGAGCATTTGGCTCTCACTGCCCGTTCAATTAATAACTTCGTGACACTTTTGTCCTTGTAAACATACAACTTCAACGAGAAGCTCGTTAAAAATGCTCGGAATGAAACCAACTTGAAACCAAAGATCGCCTCCGTGGTCTCTAACTTCTCCAGCAATTTTTTCCAATGGCACAGTTGACCATGAACTGGCTATCATCAAGGTGTTCATTTTGGCTGTTGCTACAATAAGGGTTTTCGACTAGAAGGTAATATTCCCTTGTACCTCTGGCAGTGTCTACTTCCCCATTGGCACTAGCCATCTTGTGAAAAGCTGTTGGAGCTACCGCGATAGGAAAAGAAAAACTCTTCCCAAGAAAGTTAGTCGAGGTGTTCACATGAGAGACGTCTTGTAAGCATCTAGGTACAATTAGGAACCTGGGTCAAGAGATAATTTGTTGAGGAAAGAGTTTGCCAAAACCTTTCGAAGGCATTTTGATTGCGCCTGAGAGTCCTTTCATCATCTGCTGCCCCGTTATAATAATTCAGGGCAAGCCTGAAAACATGAGGTAAATGAGAAAGATTCCATTCTGCAAACCTCGGGAGTTTATGCTTCGCTTCTTGATGGAAATCTTCGACGGTCAGGAGAACCATTCTCACAGTTTACTTGACTTCTGTTGAAATTTTTTTGAAAACAACTCCCCATTTGATAAGGTGAAATCGGGGTCAAGTATTGAATTTTCGCACATGACTGAAAAAAAGGGAAACCAGATTGAGATAACTGTGAGAGAAATTACAACTTGTTTTAAACAGTTTCCAGCATAAGAACAAAAGTTGATTTTTTTGTTTGTAAAGGGGGAAGTTCACTACTCCGAAATGCGTAATAGAAAATAAGCGTCGACGATCTTCGGCTTCCCACCAGTTTTTTCTATTTTCCTTCCAAACGGACTTTTCCCAGCGTTGCTTCTGCTGCGTTAAACATTCCGTTATCTATCGAATGGTTAACAAATAGTTATCTAGTCATACACATTTATATGTTTGCGTACATTCCAAGCATTATCTTCATATCATAATTCATAAGTTGAGAAAACCCATCTGAATACTGTCGGAAGTGTACTTTCAATATGAAACATCGAAGCTGCGCTATATGAATGTACTTGAGACTGTCGGAAAGTTCTTTTCACATGAATCATAATGAATGCGCACGTGAACTTCAGAGTTTTGAAAAAGTGACGTGGGTTAACGCCCTACGATTCAGACAGCGCAAGTGACAGATACAACGACAGCCGTTAGACAGACAGTGGGCAGCATAAAGAGCAAATAATTGAAATAAATTTTATAAAATTACAAATCGAAATATACAAATTAAGGTAATAACAACATGAATATCCGCTTAGCTTGATATTGATTTCTGAAAATCATAACACATACATGTTCAGCAAATTAAAATACACAAAAGTCCTGAATTAGTGTAACAGATGGTTAGTTGATAACAGCAGAAGTTGCCATTTCCCGGATTCCACAGACGTTCTTTCCACGGTAGATTCTGAAAGAAGAATACTTCAAACAAACGATTGCCAGTGCTACCTGTAGTATCCTTCTTCTCCCCATTTCTCGCCCCAAGAGTTCTTGACAATCCAGTATGGCTTATTCTTCTCAGTTCCATATCCAACAATCAAGACACCATGGTTGAGCATGAATGGCTAAATAATAGATTATGAAAGAATATAGTGACACAAGCAGACTAACCTCACAGAAGACCTTCCATGGATGGGAGATACCATGACGATAGAATTGCAATGGATTTGCGTTGATTCCTGAAAATGAAAGATGTTTGGTCCGCAGCTCAACTGTGTAATCAGTCACTCAGAAGGCGTGGCACGGTTTAGAGGTTTAAATTCATTTTTGACGCGAATTCCGAAATTTCTCAACAAAAAAAAGTAGCAAATAGTTAAGGTACTTCTGAGTGAACGAGTAAAGTTTCTACTTGTCAAGATGATTTGGCTACGTGTTAGCCTTGTTGACTAATCGCTTAAGCTTCAAAAAACATCACTGAATGCCAAGTATAAAAGCAGGAGCATTTCTCAGTTCCAACAGAACTATCAACTCAAAATGACTCGGCTCGCCCCACTGTAAGTTCTTTGTTTTACTAAAAGGGTAACCATCTTCTCGCAGATCGCTTCTTCTAGTTCTTTGCTGCTTATCAGGATTCGCAGTTCAAAACACTGAGGCTTACTACTACTATGTACTGAGCTACTTCTTTCTTGAAAGCTATTATCTTCTTTTCAGTATCCAACCAGTTATTACTACTACCCTTACACCTACAGTAGTTATTATGGATACTACTATCCCTACTACAGCTACTACGGAAAGAGAGAAGTCAACTGGAACGATAGTCCTGATATGCAACGGAAATCTCAAAATGCTCAGGTTGGTGCAGAGTGAATCATTATTGAAAGAGCATAAATGTTTAAGGCTCCCCCCATGTACGGGCAACAAGGTGCACAACCAATGCCAGCTCAATCTTACAATGGTCAGCAGAACCAACAAGCACAAGACCCTCAATATAACATTATGCCAACATATCGCAATCAGAATTAATCCGTCCACACTCAGTTTCTATTTCAGTCCATTAACCAAACGTGCTCAAATAAAGTTTTATCTTCGATCCTCACATGTTTTATCTTTCAAACTCAAAAAATTTTGCTCGATGATCAAAAAAATGTTCAGATTCTCACGACCCCTACTTCTTCAATCATCGTAACTGATTAACAATCAGCAAAACTAAACAAGATGATATACAGAGTTTGTGAAGTTCGAGCTCATCTCTGAATGGTTCAGTTCTATACAGTTATGATGAAGAGGAAAAGAAGCCACAAATACACTCAAAAGTACATCTGGTTGGAATAGCCCTTCAACTATTAATTGTTGCTTAATGACAAAAGGACATTTAAAAGTCGCCTCTATATAAATTTTCGAGATCTATTTCTCATCAACCACTTCAGATATTTGTTTTATCGTCATCGTTGACATCTGTGAGCAGCTCTGGTTTTCCATCCTGTTAAATTTCAGAACAATCATTTTCATTCTGCGTTATTGGGCTTGTTGTGACGATGGATTGAACATTTACATTTTCGTTCGGTAGTCAGTTACAAACAATCCCTTTCGTTTTTCTACTCGCTCGCTTTTTTACTGCTCTGTTAACTTGATGAACGTTATCCGAACAACTCTCTCACTAATCTATATAAATAATAGATTAATCTCTTTACTATACCTTTTATCTAAGATATTCAGCGACCGAATGCACCATCGACGCCAGAAAACTGTCTCGAGTCCGAACTCGTCTTCAAAAGGACAACGTGACAGTGGATATGAATCAATGCAACGATTACGGTTATCAAGCTCATTCCATTGTTTAAAGAAACTCAGATTTCAGATATTTGAACAAAAAACCTTTGTGCCTGCAGTATAATATGCTCGGCGGCTATGCCAAGCGAAATTCAATGTATAAGCCGAAAAGAAAAGAGGGTGAGCTAATAACTTTGTTATTCTGTTAAACAGTTTCTTTGACATTAGAAGCTCTCATCATCGCCATTGCGATCGGACTTGTTAAACTTCTTATATGGCTAGCAGCTTTCATCAAAAAAGAACTTTGGAACTTTCTCACAAAACCTGCAGAGCAGTTGTTTCCAGTTAAGAAATGGTAAACATAGTAAGCGAGAACTGACAAAAGAGTGAACTTTTTTCAGTGGAAATCGAGGATTCAATAGCTTAAGTACTTCAGCTTACCATCAACGGTATCATTTCGCAGAAGGCAGTATCAATACAACTATACATTATAGAAGACGTTTTCGGAGAAGCATACGACGGTATTATCAAATTCGAAACTCAAGTCCGGAGATGAAAATGCAGACTTATGATAGGGATCTCAGTACTAGAAGAACTATGAGGTTCCTCACTACGTATGGTGGACAGTCTCCACTGTGTTTGAAGCAAACTATTAGTTGAACTTCTTTTATTAATTTGAAATGTCATCAAGCTGAATCAATCGAATTCCATACTAATGATATAACCAAACTGAACATTGAACCTTCCCAAATACCAATGCCATTTCCCCCTTACAGGTACTTTCACAGCACATTGTTACTGATCACTGTTGTACTCGTTACTCATTCGAATAAAATTTAGCGCAAAGAGATAATTTGCAAAGAGAAAAACTACGAAAGTATGAACATACCAATAGAGATAGGACCATTGTGTACCAAATAGGCTTTCATCGATTCTTCGTTTTTGGGTAACTCAACTGAGTCGTTGATGTAAACGGAAATATCCTAAAACTACTACACTCAGAAACTTCCATGTTAACGTACAGGTCTGGATAGATGACAAGTCTCGTCCTTAGCGTCATATGGATATTTATCTTCAGGTTCCAATCCTCCCATGTTCATGATCTCCCTGGATTAGAGTAAAACAATAAACAACTCATTTGATCTCTAAACTTGTAAGCATTGCTGGGTAATCCACCATTACATCCTTGGTCGAGATGATCACAATCCACCAGTTGTTGCTCTGAGAGAGAAACTAGCTTGCCTTTGGATAAGAACCTAAACAATTGAGTAGAAAAAGGTTCAAATGTCTCGACGGCTACTGTCTTTTGTGCATGACGCAGACATAATCTCACAATTGAAATTAGATTTGGGTAACTCACCATTGTCCTTCAACATTTCCGGTTGTCGAAAAGGCCCAACAACTTCCACAGCTACCTATTTTACTCAATTCACTACATAAAAATGTTATGAACAACCTTGGTTCTTGACACCAGTCACTGCTCCCTTCTCTCTCCAGTCCATGAATTCAGGGATGTCTCCCCGTGGCATGTCATCGTCAGTAAGAATTTTGTTTGGATAAACAGGAAGGTCCCATAAGTACGGTAAATATGTCTGCAGTTAAAAGATGAATGAACAAAGGTTGTAGCTGCTTCACTTTTTTGAATTCTGAGCTAGTCATATCGGAGAATTGTGTAACGCCATACACAGCAGTTCCCATTTCGCGTTTTTGCCATGTGTCTATAGACTTCAGATTACGTTTGAAAACTCGGAAACGTTTGAAAGCGTGTCTCTTGCTCTCATACTGCTTGTTGTGTCTAAAATAAAGTCATTGCGAAAGATATAAAAAGAGCACGAATGAGCAACCGCGCTTGATGAAATTCGAACTCGAAATGACGCCGTTCCACGGGACCACGACTGCGTGGCAATTAGCATACACGCAGACGCATATCGAGTGAAGCTACATACCTGTCAGCAAAATCAAGGAATCGGTTCCATGCGACGTAATCTTTTGATTTAATGTGGCGACTGTCTCTCAATTCTTCCAAAACAAAATTAGAGCTCTTCAGTTGAACTCTTTGAATGAAATTATAGTTCACCGTAATTTCATCGAAGTTCTTACTTGGAATGTCTTTTAGATCGAGTGAAAGGTTCTTCACACCCAATGATATGAACTCCCTCGAAGTTTTCCCAGCTTTTGCGTAAAATTTCCGCTGTGCATTTCTTAAACGTAAAATAGTTATTGGGTTTCAATTAGATCTTGCCTTCAAACGATTGCCCTGGCTGCATCCTTCAGTCGAAAGCTTCCCATTCTGAAAATTACAATTTACAAGACGCTTTCATTAGATTCAGATTACTTGTTTGGTACAATCAGTCTTGGCAAGAGTAAACTTCACTGTATACTTAACTCCTGTGAGAATATGACGATGAACGTCATCTATTTGAGAAAAAATTAAGTTTCCGGAATCGAAACGCAACGTACCAACGTCAGCCAAAGCCCACAGGAAAAGATCATTAGACTGAGCATTAATGTGGTCTGCGGCTTTTTGTGCCAACATCTAAAATAAGAAAATCGGGTTAAGGCGTTGAATGGCACAAGCTACGTAACGTGATCCTACTATAGCTTAGAAGTCCTAACATAAAAACTTACTCTATGATCTTCATCTAAATCATGTGTGTCTGCAGAGAAGGCTAGGCCAATTAAACAAAATATGAATAAAGATCGCGGTATGAGTCGAGGCATGACTGAAACAAATCTCATTAAGTCGTGAAGCAGGACAACAGAGAGCAAGTAGGCAAGTAAAAAGACTGAAAATTTCGGAGACAAGCACCGGCTTGCGACCTTAACTGACAACAGATGTGAGACACAATCAAACCTCGTCAAATCTTAAATCAAGAGTCAGCTGATTGGTGGGTAAAGTAAGCTCAGGCTAGACAATGACTGACGAAGTGAGCCAGTTTGTTGTGCACGATGGTGAGGAAAAGAATAGAGAGAGAGAGAGAATGAAAGAGAAAGAGAGCTAAGGGACATGGAGTAAAAAAAAGCAAAAAACCGATAATACATCAAAAAAAAAATTGTGCAGACAAGTCAGTGCAATGGGAGGTGTGGGTGAAGTAAGTGTAAATGACGGTTAAGATTAATCAATAAAAATAGAAAAATGAACAGTCTTCTTCTCAAATGACTAAATTGGAGACAACGACCTCGAATCATAACTTAAAGATAAAAGGTGAAAGACGAGATGCAGATGTAATCGAAAGAATACAAAACAGATAATGACTGGCAGAACATCGGTCAATTCCAGCAACACATTTCACTGCTGAATAGCAATTGCTTTGACCTAAGCATGAGCAGAAGGACAATTTGGGTCTACGCCCGTCTTCCAAACTCTCTCCATTGAGTCATCCGAATCATAGAGAATTAGCCGAAGTTTAAAAGACAAATGTGGAGCTGAATACCTAATGGCTTTCGAAAACAGATAGACGGACATTCGAATAGAATTCTACTGGGTGGGGCTCTGAACAACGCAAGACGTGACACATAATCTCCCTATGAAAATGCATTCAATCCCAATGCAAAATATCCTATTCCAATTATTCACAAAAAAAGATTGCTATACTTGGAAAGCACAGAAGAGCGACTAGTCAAGATTGAAACTGATGAACAAGCCAAAACAGATAGAAACTGATACACGCGACATACTGAGGCAGAGCAAGTCTCGTTCGTGAAAAATGTAACTTCGCACAATCGCATTAGAATAACAAAGAATGTTGAGAAAGAGAAAGAGAGAGAGTAAGAGAAACGACAACTATTTTTTTCTTCTAATAAAGCAGATAACTCGTTGATCGATTATGCAGCAACACAGTGCTAAGTTTCGCACATGTTCTTTGGTCAGAAACTACATAGCTAGAATAGATAAGCGCAGAAAGCAACCCCACAACCTTAGTTCGACGATGTGCTCAACCTTCCTTTTCTAGATCAGAGTTTTAGGGAATACGTGGCAAAGAGTAGACACAAGAGAAATTTGGTTCCGCAAAAATTAAAAATCCCCAGAGTGTCGTTTCACAAATAAATGTGATATCTGCCAGATAAGAGAAACGATGGGAAGTTCTTCATACGTCTAGTCTAGACGTTTGTTTTGACTAAATGAAAGGAAAAGAAGCGAGTGAAAACAGAGAACAAGATGAATATAATTTGTATGATTATTAGTATTCCAAGCAGGAGAATAGCTAATAAACCATTTTTTCATTGCCTTCTGAGCCCCAACTATGTGATTCAAAACAATGTTATATAATTAGGAAACAGATGTTCACGTCATAAATGAAACGCATAAACCCCTTGGCATCATAACTCAGCTGAAGTTGGTCATAAATAACCGACACAAAGAAGTGAGAGACAACACTACCCGCTATCTTTTAACAGTTCAGCTCTAGACGTCAGAGAACTTTAATTCGCAAAAAAGACCAAAAACTGCTTCCCATGCAATATTATAAAAAAAAGTCCATGAACTTATCATACAATTGTTAGGCGTCTACCGAGAAGTATTCGAGATGAGTATCTATTTCAAAACAACAAAACCACGCGATGTTCAAACGCGTCAGTTGTATCTAACACGATCGCTTTATATCACCTGATTAATAAATGTTCACGTGAGTTAGGAAATACAATCTTTAATGCGCGACATGCAGTCGAAGAAAACATAAGTTACACAGAATTACGTCGAAGACAACATGATGAACAAAAATACACACACGCACACAGACACTAGACAACACAACCGTTTTGTGCGCATACAAGTTTCGAAATGAAAGTAATTGCGTTCGCGCTTAAACTTGTAAACGTAAAGCGGGTAAGCAAGCATGACATGAGTATAAGTAGACATTTTGAGATAAGATATTCAAAAGACAGAAATTAATAGATGCTATCGAAATGTAACAATTAAATTGTGAGTGAATGAAGCTCATTGAGTGTGACAGTTAATAAAGAAGTTCAGAAGAGACGATTTATCATTAGGCCGTCAAGTGTGTTCATCCACTTCTCTCAGAATAAACAGAGTACTAACACAATGCAGATAACTTCTTTCAATTCAATTATTATTTGGTCGAATAGACGATCTGAAACGCTATTAAAATAAACTTTTTATTTTTGTCATTCAATAGTACAATGTGTTTTTCGGAACATTTCCTAGATAAAGTAGTTGTTCTCATCAATGTCATGCTCTTCGTCAAGTAGCCTTAGGCCCAGTCCACAAATTTCTTGCAATTCGTTAAAAATTGAGAGCAACGAATAACATTGAAAGTGTCGCGAGGGTTAGGGAAAGGATTGCATACCTGTAATATGAATGTGCTTGTTGTTTTCTATCAATCTTACCTTTCGGGCTTCATCCACAATATCCTCACATCTCTTTAATGAAGACTTTGGTGTTGCTGTTGTAGAGACAACAGGACTTTCAGCTGGCTGCGCTGGTGTTAGTTCAGGCAGACAGAACTGCTCAAATGCATAACAGAATTGGAGATAAGTTTCATTAATATTCGCTCCTGTACAGTACTTTGGATACTTATGGTAATATCTAAGAAAACGTTCTTGAAAGCTTCTGGCCAATCGTCAAACCTCTGGCAATACGATATTACGGGAATAACTCCAGGGGTAGCTGAACATGCACTGGGATAGGTTTGACAGAATGGAATCTGGAACATGAAAGGAAGTCGATAACGTTGTTTTCAGCAGTGGGAAATGTCTATTGACTTCCAACAACCGGGAATATCTCTCTTTAAAAATCTTATCGACGAAAAGAAAAAACATTATCATTTACCTCTGTCTTCAAGACCGTCTCCCCATGACAATTTCGAACAAATCGTTCCCTTTCAATGACACAATATTCACTGACAAACACTAATACAGACTTCTAAAAACAAACTTATTCTTTGAAAGTTACGGGGCAATAGATCACCACCAACCTTATCTTCTACAACCGATTGCGTTTTATTGTTATTCTCTGCTCCTTCTCTGCTTGTAACATCTGTCTTCGAATGTTCGACTATCTCTTCACTATTTGACTGTAAATCTATTCTCAAAGAACACAATTAAAAAATGAGAAACCGATTCAGTTTTAGGCAGGGTTGATGATGGTTTAGGCAATCGAACTAGATTTCCTTTTATTTCTGTAGTAGGTTCTTCAGTGTGCTTGATGTCAACTGTTTCTGGAATCGCATGACTAGGCACTGCAGGCTCAGCAACCTCATGAGTTCCCACAAATTTTTCTTCGAGTTTCTCTTAAGAATCAAACACATTGATAAAGAACAAAGCTATGACGTGATCTAACCTTTGGCTTCGGTACTTTTAGGTGCAGTTGCCAGTTGCGGTGGTATCACTAATACGGTTTCTTTGGTGTCCTTCGAAGGCACGGGTGGGGGAACAATTTTGAAATCAGAACAGAAGTCTAAGCTTGGCCTTCGGGCACAAGCTCTCTGAAACTCGAAGACTATTACACATCAGAATGCTCATTAATAGATGAACCTGGATTAAAATGGACCTAAAGTGATCTTGCGTTGAAACATGATCAAACGCTAAAGTTAGCAGAATAGCTGCAATTCGAAGACAATTCATTATCAGCCAGTCTTCTCGATCGCTGTGATGAGAGAAGAACAATCAATGATCTCATCCTATCCTGTTCTAATGTCGAGACAAACACACCCCAAATTAGGCCTTGTGTTGGGCGTCTTTATTAGTTAAAAGTAAAATATAGACAAAATGCTTAATAGCATGCAAGAGAGCTGACTAAGAATAATCACAAAAATACCACAAATATAAGTTCAAATTGAAAGATTCGTATGATACACACACTCACACACTTACTCACTCACACACACGCACATACGCTTGTTACTAGGAGAATTGGTATTCTAAGACTAAGTATACTTGAAAGGCTTCAGTTCTTGGCAAAACTTAGCGGCATTAAAAACCGTTTGCTTTAAAAGTGATCAGGTCCAACGACAAGTAGCGAAATAATAATAATACAAATAAGGGAAATCAGAGATAAGACCAGTAGTTAAAAAAATGATTAAATGTGCTTTGTGTGTAGAAGTTGTTTCCCAGCTTGCTATCCACGACAACAACAACGACGTCCACATCAGCGGTTTCCCTGAGAGAGCTACCAGAGCTTAACTAGTTGTGTGACTTAGAGGTGGATACTCGCCTACATCGTCAGTAGACAGAGAATTATTTTCAAGCACCGCGTGGTGAGCTGAAAGGTCTGGATTCACTGATTTGGAGCTTAGTATATCATCATTTGCCTTTCTAAGGCTTAACTTACTTGTACTCATGTCGGCACGAGGTCCGATTCGCTGCTGCTTAACAAGATTGCATTCCCCTCCATCGGGCTCAACCTTGTAACAATAAAGGAAGCCATCTGTAGTAGCCACAAGCAAGTAAGTCTGGCCGTTGATTCTAGAATGAACTAGCTGCACATATACGGAACAATGCGCCTTACGTTGGCATAGCAGCAATGTTCTTTTTTTCGCTTCCAGGAAGACGAGCGGTAGCAAAACTTCTCTCGACTGTAATTAGTTCGTTCACCTAAAACGAAAGTGATGAGAAACAAGCTGAACAAGATGTATCACCTGAGTTGGCAGATAGCTTGAAGCAGCCTGGGTAAGATAACCAAACCAGCTATTATCGCTTGCTGGTTCTCTGTAACAAAAAGATGATGAGTTAACGATTACGAAACAGACAACACCTTTCAGCCTCTGGCTGTTTTTCTAATTTGAAAACATGAACAGTCTCTGTATTACTTGATGAACACAGATAAGACGAATCACAGGAAAACGCCAATGAATGAATTGTAACGCATCTTCATGGAAAAATATTAGTTCGTGAATGGCATTTTTAGGTACCTAGACATTCCTCTCCTAAATTCAAATAGCTTCGTTCCTTGCTGAGGCACAGAGAACACACGAATGACTGTACCCTTAGTACTGGCAGTGGCTAACAGAGTACCTAAATCCATCAACGTACTAACATCAGTGTGTATGTATCAATCTAACCTTCTGCATTGAACTTTATGGCAGCTAAGGGCGCATCATGAGCCGCGAAGTTGTTCACAGATTGTAAATTCTGCGCATCGAAAATGTTAACCTATAAACAGGAACGTGAATACTGTCCTATAGTTTGAAACAAACGTTTCCGGAATCAGTTTCTCCTGGATAAGCTAAGTAAGCATTGTTACAAGCAGATAAATCCACAAGACCGAGCCTATTAACTGGAGTATCGACTATAGAGTGAAGAAGCTGTAATCATTTGTTGTGCCAATCGCAATCTGATTCAAAGCCCTACCTTCATTTCCTTCAAGCTGTATATGCTAATGACTTCATCCAAACAAACAACAAGTCTCTATAACAGATGATGCTGAAGAAAAGAAAGTGGGGGATTCTAACTTCTCTATTCAGTTTGGCGTTCAGGATGGGCTTATTGAATTTTAAATCGACGATTATTTCTTTGGTGGATGTGTGATAAACATGTAAAACACGACGATCTTTCTGAAAACATACCATTGATGGAAAGATTGAGCTTGAATATGTAGTACCTGAGACACTACTATTATAAGTGAAGATAGGAACAAACGTTCAACAATTACAGCTTCTCTCAAGTCTAGAAAAATTGAGAATGAAAAACTGTGTGGCGAACTCACAAGAGGATGTATCTCGATTCTGAGGAGCGCCAAAGTTGTTATCCAACACATCGGACACCATGTACAAGTTATAACCATCTGCATGACCAACAGCTAACGATCTGCATTGAAAGGTGTTCAATAAAGGAAGAAAACACAATCTACATACTTTGCATCTTGATTAAAGCTCACAGTCAAGAGATGGTCGACATCCATATCTTCCATATCCGTATCTTGAAATCTAAAAAAACAAACACTTAGCAAAAGAAAGCAACGTTCTGGCGTCAGAAGGTCAAACGGTACAAGCAAAAACATTGTAAGGACAACAGCGTAAGGAATCAGCTGATTTGGGCGGAGCCTGAATGCAACGCTTGCATGGTTTCGCATTACACAGCAAACAAACAGTTTGGCTAAAACAAAAAACAAACTTTCATCACAAATTATTCAATCGTTTATCTATTTTGTAGCTTCGTATTTACATTGAACCCTTTTTGAACGTCGCTTACGAAAATGTCCGATCTCTAACCTCACCATTAATTGTTATTTTGTATTAGTCATAGTGGGCGTGTTTGTTCCCTTCAAGAATCAATACTCTAGAACACAATATGCGTCCAGTTCTGTTTATAACTCTCTGCTGTTTGGTGTGTACTGTTATGGCTGGATTAGCTGGTGGTTGGACTAACCAAAATGCTTCTGATTCTGATTATATGGTTTGTGATACTACCTTTCATTCAAATAATCTAGTGCTAATTACAAAAAATCGCTTCAACTTCTTTTTTTTTCAGAAAAAAGCTTGGGGAGCTTCTGAAGGAATCAACGATAATGCTTCTAACAACGGACCATATCATATGATGCCAATCAAGGTATACTTTGCCAAATTTCAATGTGCTTTCAAATCACATGACATGAAGCCTACTGTTTATTGATTGAAAACGAGAATTAGATTGGGAGTTCACAAAGAATAGAAGAGTTGTTTACTAAATTACGACACCTCGAGATCATCACACCATAAATGCTTGTTTTGGTATTCTATTGTCTGAAGTCATAGAATTAAAGGCCATTGAATTGGGCACAGCTTGCAGTATATCAGTTTGAGAGTCAGAAGAGAAGGCATGCTTCATAGCGCGAGTTGTTAAGGGAGCTATAGTTGTGGTAATATCGTGGTTGTTCACTATTATAATCAGAGTTGCTCCTCCAATCATTCCTATCCACAAGGCCCAGAAAAGAATTAAAGCGCCATATCTGATGTTAAGAATTATTTGAGAATGTTTTGAATTGAGTAACAAACCTTACGATGAAGCCTGTACCATGGCTACGCTTGAGTGCAAGTTCATCTTCGCTATATCCGATTTTCTCGAAAATTTCGCTTTCGGAATCCATGAAAAGAGTTGGAATGGAATAGAGTATGAAGTTAGAGAAGAAATGATGGCAGGAAAGATTCCTAGTCAAACAATTCTTTTCGTGATAAGACAGATCAATTTGCTAATACCACCTCCGTTTATAATCAGTGCAAGCAATTCACGCGTTAGTTTTGTTCGGAATGGAAGGAGTTAATTAAATAATGCAACCGCTCTGCTCCAATCATGAATGAGAAATGAGATGAGCGGTTTTAACGTGGCTTATCGTAGTGCATGAGTTATGCTAATCTTTGTTTTTCAGGTTCTTTCTGCTAAATCTCAGGTAGTTGCTGGAACCAAGCACGAATTGGAAGTTCTTTATGGAGAATCAAGCTGTAAGAAAGGAGTAAGATGAGAAAAAGCAAATCGATTTCTAATAATGTGATCTAGGAAATGCAAGCTATTGAACTTTCCTCCTCCAACTGTCAATTGAGAGATGGAGCTGCTCGCCATGTATGTTCGAAGCCTTGATGTAAACATCATTCTTTGGTTTCAGATCTACAAAGTGACTGTCTGGGAGAAACCATGGGAAAATTTCGAGCAGTTCAACTTCGAAAAAGTTCGCAACGTTGAGCCTTCTGAGCAATTCTGAGTGATATCTTGATGGCTTTTATTCAATTAAATCTTGCTTTCAAATCTTTCTGACTCTACGAGTTTAACCTTATCGTACATTTACGATTATTATTCCAAATAAATTTTCTTGTATGCTAATACTATATATTTGTTTGTTTACATTGAACTGTCAGAAGCAACCGTTTATACATCTACGACAGTTTGATCAGTCTGTTGATATTGCAGTTTTTCCAGAAAAAATATTTCTTGTATTGTTAACGATGTACTCGTGTGAACTGATGTTCGGTGATTGAGATTGCTTACAACAACCATTAACTACGATATAAGAACACTCGACCTTCAAAGTCTTCCAGTTATGACTTTAACTCGGAAAGACGAGAGATTCTGACGAATTCTCCATTTCAAAAAAGGTATGATTGACGATTGCTGATTGTGTTTCATTAATGTGATTTCTCTCTCTTCTCATATTATGATTCGTTATACAACTTAAGGTCTTTATCCAATCATCAATCCTCAGTACTTAGGATAATGGTTTGTAATTCACGTATTTTCCGATCGCAGATTTTTTTTATTCGACCTAATGACAATAACTATTGATAATAACATCCAATTTTTTGTTTTCGAATTTGTGAATTGAAATATGAGAAACAACTTAATGGAGTTTCGTGTTCGTAACGGATTAATAGGCGGTCCATAATTTGCCAATAAATACCGTTGTTTCTGCCAGTTCCATAAGTGTGATTTCAGTCTATCTGTGTTACATCATGTTGTTCGCTTGGATCGTTCTCTGCGCTTTTGTCATTCAAACTAACTGCGATGAGGCTGGCGGTTACAATGAAGAAGATGCTGAGGACTATATGGTAATGTATATTCTAATCGAAAAGTTAATTTTTGTTTTCAGCCAACAGCGTGGAAAGCCGCTGTTCATCTAAACCAGGAGAACACTTCCATTGAAAATTATTATATTCCCATCAAGGTATGTTGGTGCTTCCAAATGGCATGTCGAATGTCTTATGCTAATCTTGTGTCTCCAGGTTTTCTGGGCTAGATCCCAGGTAGTTTCTGGTACCAAGCACGAGTTTGAAGCTCTTTATGGAGAATCAACCTGCAAGAGAACGGTATCATTGAGAATTCTAACTAAATTATAAACTTTATGATGTAGGCAATGGAACCTTCTGAGATTTCTGAGGAAAACTGCAGTCTAAAAGAAGGAGCTGCACGTGCGGTAGGGTTCTCTATTTGAAGGAAGAGGAGAAACAATTCCATTACAGATTTACAACGTTACCTTGTATGAGAATCCCTCGGATGGCACTGAAAAATATACAGTCACAAAGGTTCGTGATGTATCGCCTGACGAGCAACTCTAAATGGTTTATGAAAGTTTTCTTATGATAGTATTTCCTTTTTGACACCGCAAACTTATTTTTTTCGTCGATACTATTAATTACACGGGAATAAATCCATTGTGTACAATCTTTATTTTTTCGTTTACATAAGAACTGGCATAAGCCAACACTTAGTAAGCGAGTTGAATTCACACTCTTATCTTTATCATCTTATTCTTAGTAAACAAAAGGAAACCGTATAAAGATCAGCGGCTCGCTCGGTTACTACTAAAGTTTTCGTTTGAAAATTTTGTATTCCCTGATGATGAAAATGTTCCTCATCCTATTCATGGTGATTGCTGCATGTTCCGCTTCAAGTATGCCAGGTGGCTGGATGGCACAGAAACCTGGAGATAAACAATATATGGTAAGTTCATAATCTATTACTATTAAATATTTCTTTCCATAGGATATTGCTTGGGAAGCAGTAGGAAAGGTTAATGAAGATGCAAAGAGCAACGGTCTGTCTAATTCTGCTCTTATTCCAAAAAAAGTAATCCATTGTCTTCATTTCTGTTCCTAAACATAAGTTCAGGTTCTCTCGGCTGAGTCACAAGTTGTTGCGGGGATAAAATATGAAGTCTTAGTTGAATATGTAGATTCAACCTGTTCTATTGTAAGTTACGAATTAAAGTTTTGTATAAAGTCGAATTCAGGATACCATCCCTAAGAAAACAACATGTCGGGAAAAAAGTGGAAACGGAAAGACCTACGTTTGTTTTTGAAATTCATCTTTACTAGTTAGGTAATTCCAGGAATATATCGTTCAAAAGTACGAGCGAGCATGGGATAACGTTAACGAGATCACAGTAAGCAGACCATAATCTTATTCAATCAACTGTAACTGTGAATCTTCTACTACAATGCTTTCATTCGTACTTTGAGTTTAATGTTGATAATATAAATATTTTGTTCCAAAACTCATGCTCACTGAACGCCGTATGTTTAACGTCACCATCTTACCTGTTGCAATGAGTTCCTTATGTGTTTCTCTAAAATGTTCTGATAGCGCCAGTTTGTGCCTCATAAAGCGAAGTCATGGAAGCCTGTTATCATGTAGCCGTGAACGCAATTCAACAAACACGGACGATGTGGAAAATGAAAAATAACATTCGGTAAATAAATATGGGAAGTGAGTTTTTCTTTCATCTTCAAACAAGCCTCTGCACAATCTGTTCAAATGTACTTATGATCAGAATCTTCCCAACAGTAGACAGCAAGAAACAATGTCAGAGAATTTCAGAAAATCATTTCAGGAGATAGACCAATCCTACTCAACCAGCTGATATCGTTCGAATGATCTTTAATTGAGATCAATTGTTGCTATTGAATATGAACGTTTATTATAACATACTTCTCTGTTCTACTAGTTTCACCAGGGAGCAGAGAGACATTTCGCAAACAGTCGAGGAAAACAAAAGTTTAAAAAAATCACCCAGGATTAAGTTGATTTCCAATGTAAATTCTTTTAAGGTAATATTGAATCATATTTCAAGTTGCTCCACTGATACATGCTCTATCAAAGATGCAAAACCAAAAAAAGGATAAGCTTAGAGTATTGTCCAAGGTTGTGTTCAATAGAAAATGAAAGCCAAAAGTTTCAGAAAGTGGTGGTTACTTTTGCCAAATATAAAAAATGCTCTGGTCGTCTGGTTGAAAATGGGTGATTGGTCTATTCATAGCTGCTTCCCAAAATCTTTGTAAACTAACCATTTCACAGGAATTTGTGTTCACTATTTATATTTTATATTATTATAACAGTTAAGTGAGATCAACATGGGAAACAGAGGGCTGACACCCCTTGTTGTAGTCGTTTGTAATGAAAATGAAGTTAATTGGTTGTTTTGGCCATGTTATCATTCATTTAGATGACGGTGAATGTGTGAACCGAAAGCGGAAAGACTTGTCTGTCAAGGAATAAGATTCTATAACAGACTTGAGCACGACTGCTAACTTCACGCGTGTGCGAGGAATGAAAGCTTCAGTCATTTCATTCGAAAATATATTGGCTAGTGGGCGGTCGTGTTATCTTTGTTTCACAGCTGACTGAATAATGGTTAGTAGAAATATTGTTAACCATTTTGTGGTGGTGTCCATCTGCAACAAGTGTTGCACGTTACCGTATTCTATGAAACTTGCCGTTTCACTAAAAACGTTGGGATCAAAGTAGTTCTACTCATGTCATTTTCGAGAAAAATATGTTCATTGGATCACTCATCTATGATTTCTGAATATCTCAACCCATTGTTACTTCGTTAATTGTTTGTACCGATAGGATGTAGCAGTACGCTATAACACAAATACAAATAGCTGTTTTCGTTTTTAAATGAATGGCCACATCGTTCTCGACATCCCCCCCCCCCAAACTAACGAGTAGACTGATTTCATGTACCTCAGATGTCTCTCTATGTTGTAATCATGCACTGTTTATCCCTTTTTGGGTTTTTCATTCTATTCTTCTCATTTTACCTTCTTATCTCTGTTCCAACCAAGATGAACAACTTCACCCGCTTCGTGATTCATGGACATGACTTCACGTGAGTTTTGAATTTCAATCTTTCATAATTGTTTTTTGAAGATCTGCCTTAACTCAACTCTATATTACATTGGGGACAATAATGACTAACCTCTTCCCATGTAAATCTGCATACATGAGTGGTTTCCTCTCTGATTTCGGAATTGAACCTTTGGATCAAATGAATTTTCAAATAACATTGATGACTAGTAATCAACTGTTGAGGTTAGACATGACGTTCATTCAATTCAGTCAGCAAATTCTTCACTCTCCTTCTCACAATCAATCGAACGTTCGCCATAAACACATGGATGAAGAAACATAAGAACCCAATTCTGATCATATTCTTCGCTCAGCTGATTGGTCAAGTCGTTGTTTCATTCTTCAATGGCTTGAACATGAAAGACGGTGGAGAAGAAGCTCGGCAGGCTTGTCTCGCGGTTTGAACACTGTTTTTTCGTTAAAACAGTTCATTCAGATAATCACCTATGAATATCCCTCGGTGATGTATACCTCTCGAGGATTTGATATGTCTCTCCAAGATGAGAGCGGTCAGTTCGCCGCTATAGTTATGTCTTTGACTACAGCGTTTTACATGATTATTGCAATTGTCTGTGTTATTATCCTCATTCGGAGCATCAGAGAGCAAGCGAAGTCATCACAGTCGACTCAGTTCTTAGCCAACCAGCGT